AGGAACACTGGTATTTTAGGGTTGCTTTTTGGCTGTTTCATAGGCTCCCTCTGCTGGAGTAAAATGTCCTGTTTGGTCCTCAAGATTGGAACATCCTTTCCCTTTAATTGAAAGCAAATATAATCAACAATTTACTGCATGGCTAGACTGGCTTTTCACATAGTGTTTCTCCTGCCACGTCCTCAATTTACCTTCCACAGAGCTGTAATACCCAACTGACATTCTTGCCTTTTCAAAACAGAGCCTTGCAAGAGACTGACTTTAAAGAATTTGCCAGACTTGTGAATTGTTAATAATAAGCAGGCTCTTGTTTCCTGTGAGTAATGCCCTTGCTACTTCCATTCTAACCTTCTCAGTTTGAGAACATCTGGGAGTATTATGGAAAGACTGTGACAAGCCTATTTAGAGGTGCTTGCTGAAAGGAAATTAGCCTGAGTCACCAGGTCTGTTATGTTATGGATGTGGTGGTATAGTCCCTAAGTCGTGTCTGACTCTTGCGACCCCAAGGACTGTGGCCTGCCAGGCTCCTCTGTCCATGGGATTCTCCAGGCAAGAATACTGGAGTGGGTTGCCATTTCCTTCTCCAGGGGATCTTCCTGACCCAGGAATTGAACCTTGCAGGCAGATTCTTTACCAACTGAGCTATGAGGCAAGCCCTCATATTATTGTTATGTTATGAAGGTAGAAAAAGTGAGGATTGCTGTAAAGTCAACACTTCCCCTGCCAGGAGGAGCCACCCTTTTTCAGGACACACAGTTTCTCAGGACCATCAGCACAAGTGAACAATGAATTGAATTCATGTGAAGTCTTGTGTTGATGTTGTTTAGTTTGCCAAGTCGTGTCCGATTCTTAACGACCCTATGGACTGTAGCCCTCCAGTTCCTCTGTCCATGGGATTCTCCAGGCAAGAATACTGGAGTGGGTATTTGCTTGCCATTTCCTTCTTCAGGGGATCTTCCTGACCCAGGGATCGAACCAGCATCTCCCACTTTGGCAGGCGAATTTTTTACCACTAAGCCACCTGGGAAGTGCCATTATTCACTACTTCCCATTTATGGAGTTCCACTTTATTTCTGGCTTTGCAATGTGCCAGATGTGTCGTCTTTTCCTTTTTCACCTATCTTTTAGGAGTCACTTTTGGGATTTAAATGACTTAGGAGAGTATTCAGTGAATTCTGAATCAATAGGCTCATAGGAGCTCCTGGGTGATGGTATTTAGAGGAGAGGGGAATATCACAGTAATGGCATCTCCAAGGTACGTGTGGAAGTGTCAGCACCTCCATTTCTGCCACAGCCCAAAACCGTGTTCTCTGACAGTTCTAGAACACCAAGTGCTGTTAGAACCAGCACCACTGGCATCACCTGTGGATTTGTTAGAAATGCAAAACTTCAGTCCTCACTCCAGACTGCACATTCACAAGATCCACGGGGCATCCGATATTAAAATGTGAGAAGCACTTGTCTCATGCATCCAGCCTGGGCTGGTGATCTGTTTCACCCTAGGTAATATACATGTTTCGATGCTGTTCTCTCGAAACATCCCACCCTCGCCTTCTCCCACAGAGTCCAAAATTCTGTTCTGTACATCTCTGTCGGGCCTGGTGCACTGGGAAGACCCAGAGGAATCGGGTGGAGAGGGAGGTTGGAGGGGGGATTGGGATGGGGAATACATGTAAATCCATGGCTGATTCATGTCAATGTATGACAAAAACCACTACAATATTGCAAAGTAATTAGCCTCCAACTAATAAAAATAAATGGAAAAAAAAAATAAAGTGTGAGAAGCATCGGTCTGGTGTAATGGGAAGTCTCAGTGTAATGCCACGCCTGAGGCATGTGAGAGAATACGGGCACCTCAGGAGCTGCCAAAGCCAGAAACACCTTCCTCCTGCCCTCCTCTGAGGTCTGTGACTAACACCCCCAGAGCTGGTGGGCCGGCTCCACCCATCAGCTTTATAAAACCAGGCAGTGAACCTGTAACCCTGCCCTGCAATCAGTATTTATGATCCTTGTTGACTGGCGCTTTGACCTCAGTGGGCCCAGACTTCCGGGACCTACCTGTCTGCTCTCCACCCACTCAGCTGACTCTTTGACTCCTGCAGTCTATTTAATAGCTGGTCTGCTTTGGCCCAAACTCCTAAGTTCTGGTGCTTTCCAACTGGGATATAGCCAGGCCTTCAGTGATGACACCTTACTGTGGAGATGGTGTTAAAAGAACCTGGGGGATCTTCAGCAACTCAAGCTGTAAATTAGTCATAACTTTAAAAAGTCTAGATGATAGAAATTCAAGTTGAAGTAGCTTAACTTTAAAAGGGGGAAGGTGAGAACCTTTATGGATCAAATATGGCATCACTTCTGGGAGTTTTCTGCCCAAATGCATAACTCGAATCTGATCGTGAGGATCATTGTACATATCCAAATGGAGGGGCATCCTATGAAATAAATTGTCCATATTTTTCAAAAATGTCAAAGACAAAGGCTGATAATCTGTTACAGATTAATGAAGTCTAAAGGGCATGACAGCTAAGTCCAAAGTGTGGTTCTGAATTGGATCCTGTAACAGAAAACACACATATATATATTTATGTATGTATATATGTGTGTGTGTGAATATGTATATATACATGTAGTTGTTGTTTAGTCATTCAGTCGTATCCACCTCTTTTTGCAACCCCATGGACTGTAGCCTGCCAGGCTCCTCTGTCCATGGAATTTTCCAGGTAATAATACTGGAGTGGGTTGCCATTTCCTTCTCCAGGAGATCTTCCTGACTCAGAGATCAAACCCACATCTCCTGCATTGGCAGGCAGATTCTTTACTGCTAAGCCACCAGGGAAGTCCAGATAGAAAGATAGATAGATAGAGATATATAGATATATCTTTCAGGAGCATTATTGGGATTATTGGGAAATTGTAAATATAGACTATAGATTACATAATAATACTGCATCAATATTAAAATTCCTCATTTTTATAGTTACACTGTAGTTAGGTAAGAGAATGTCCTTGTTTATAAGAAATATACACTGAAGTATTTTAGGGTAAGGGCTTCCCTGGTGGCTCAGTGGTAAAGAATCTACCTGCCAATTCAGGAAACATGGGTTCGATCCCTGGGTAGGGAAGAGTCAGACACTAATTAGCAACTAAACAACAACAATTTTTGAGTAAAGGAGCATCATGTTTGCAACTTACTCTAAAATCCCTTCGAAAATAAGCAATGGTAAAGCAAATGTTAACAAAATGTTAACGAAAGATGACTATGGGTAAATGGTATATGGGAAATTTTGTACCACTCTTAAAGTCCTTTGGAATTCTATACTAATCATTTACAAAAATAAAAAATTTAAAGTGGGTTACATTAGCAGAATACTCAGGAACTTTACAGAATTAAGTGAAGAAATGTCAGACTCAGGGTAGTCTGGGGATCTTGGGAACATGAAATGAAGACTTGAAACCACCAGAGCAAACTCTGACCTCAGGAAACTTCTTTAACAGAGTGATAGAATTTAGAGCAAGAAAGGGCTTTTAAGGCTCTTTAATATCTCCATTTCATGGGTGAAAAAACTGAGATCCACACAGCAAAAGTAATTTGCCCAGGGAATCACAGATAATTATTTCAGTTTCCATCTGTAGACTTTTAGGATTCTTCCTCATATTGGTTTATAAATGGATCCCCAACATTTGTTCTTTTCCTTACACTTTGAAGTTAGGATATGAGTTGAAGTAAGAACAAGATTAACATGTAAGTATTCAAAAATAACAAGAACCTAGGTTTTATGAACAACTATCTAAACAAGATCTCCCCCCATTAACATAGTTCTCACCCACTTTTGTCATTAAATGTATATATGATAACTACATATTTTAAAAATGTATGTATGATAGCTACATATTTAAATGTAAAAAGCAGTGCCATTGTCTTTGAACACGATTTTATTTGTATGTTAAAATCAGGTAGAAAATTAGAATTTCTCCACTTACCGTGGCTTACCACATAGGTAGGTACACTCTGTCCTTTTCCATGGCCTTTTTCTCACCTCATAGAATACATCATCTCTCAGTTAAAAGGTAAAGCTAATCTACATTTGTTTCTTGGAAATGTCCCCCATGATTTGAAGAGACTGATTACCGACTATTTAGAAGGCACAATATCAATATTGTGCTTGTAGGGATGCCTGGGAGCCATCTAGTCCCACCCATGCCTTTGAAACTGAGCCTGCCTGTGGTTGGCTATTCCCTCTCCCCTCAACTCTTACACCTGATTCTACTAAGGAACAGATTTTAAAAGGGAATAGGATCTATTTGCATATATTGAAATACCTTTGAGATCACTTCTGAAATAGCAGTATAATTAGAGAAAGCAGAGCTCTTTTGATCATGCTTCCTAAAATCCTGTATTGTCTTTTGGTGCTAAAAAGGCATTTGTATAGCACTTGGACCATTAGACTGGGAGCTTATAAACCTGCCCTGACCAATTTCCTCCCTGACAGCTTTTGAGAGAGAATGCAAACCCTAGCTGAAGGATCTTAGGTGGTACAGTGCAAAATTGAGTGGCTTAGTGTGTGATGAGAAGGAATGAATTTTTTTAAAAAAAGGAATTAAGAGTGCTTTCCATCACCTGTGTTCGGACATGGTCGTGAATGACTAACAAATTTTTCAGAGAAGGTGGATTCCTATAGTTCTGTCTGGTGGCAAACTCTATCTGCTACCTCCCAAATACTCATTTTCCACATTGTCTTTACTAACAGAAGCCTAATCTTGTTTGGCATAGTGATGCTCTCAGATAATTATTTGGTTTTCCAACCTCTCTGTCAGAGTGGCTATATCAAACAGTACTAGCTAATGACATGTCAGTAGAAGTCTGCTTGGAGTTTGGGGAAGCATTTTGCTTTCCTGAGAAAAACGGGCATGACTGGTGCTGCCCTTCCCCGTTTCTTCCTGCCTTGAATATAAACATGACACCTGGAGTTACAGCAGCCATTTTGTGCCCATGGGCCAACATGAGGGAAGGAAGAGAGAATTGTGACATCCTGGCTCTGACATCACAAGTAAACAATATCAGCCAGCAGTCAGCTACTTCTAGACTATTTTTTTTAATGTGTAAAAATAACCTTTTATTGGATTAAGCCACTGTAATGTCAAGTTTTCTAATAGTGAGTGTGGTAGACTTTGGGAGAAGTCTGCTTAGCTCGAAATAACCCTAGTTCTTTATGAAACACTATCCCACTCCCTACCTGGGTGGGTTTTTGCACCCATATTGATGCATTCAGGGTAAATGCACCTGACCAAGGCTGAACCAATCAGATTCTCTCTCAGGAATTCAACATTAGGTTTCAGTGGTTCTAGGTGATCCTGAAGTATGACTGAAACTGAGGGACATTATAAACCTTGGAAGCTGTTGTGTATTATGGTGTGATGGAGGTGACCTTCAACCATAGAGAAGTCAAGAAAATGGGTCTGTAGGTGACAAAGGCAGAGACTGATGTCACCAATAGAGACAACACTGCCCGGGGTCTGGCAGCTTTCTGGGTTCAAGTATGAGTCCTTTTTCATGCTTGGCTGCTCCCAGATCTCTAGTTTCCTTCCAGAGAACTGGGCAGCCCTGTAATTGTCAAGGTTGCCTACACAAGGGCACCTGGTCAGAAGGGCAAGGGACGTTAAACCCAGCCTCTGTGTTTTGGTCACAAAGCCTTGGCCTGGCACTGCATCAGCCCAGGTAATGTGCCACTTTATGCAATTCGTCTGCCCAGAAGGGAGCCTGCTTTTCTTTTTTTCCTTAAATTTCACACAAGACTAAGAAAGGCCCTTATTCATGCCCTTATTCACCAACCTAACACTGTTGGCATCTTCCGTCCAAAGGACCTTGATGCTCAGACAAAATGTGTTAACGAACAGCTAGACTGTTCGTTCTATCATTCGATAAGTAAGCTGTTCAATACCTTGATTTATTTTGCTTTGTAAAAGTTGAAGTATAGTTTACATATAGAAAAATGTATAAATCTTAAGTGCATAGTTCGGTGATTTCACTGTCATATATACATTACCCAGTTTAAGGAAAAGAATGTTTCCGTCATCCCAAAAAGTTCCTTTATCCCAGTTAGTACCACTTGCCCTGCCCCACCCCGGACACACACACACAGAAGATGTTAGAGGTAACCACTCTTTTGACCTCTATCACCATAGTTTGATTTTGCCTCTTCCTGAACTTCAAATAAATGGAATCATCTAGTGTGCTCTTTTGTGCCTGGCTTCTTCAGTTTGGTATGTTTGTGAGCTCCATCCCTGTTGTAGGTATCAGTAATTTGTTATCTTTATTGTTGAGTAGTATTCCATTGTGCAAGTGTTTCAAATTTATTCATTCTATCAATGGACAATGAAGATATGTCCAGGCCTTATGAATAAAGCTTATGAATAGGAATTAAGGTGCTGTGGCATCCTAACTAGTGGCCCTAGGTACTTCTTTCCCTTGGACACTGAAGTGCTATAGTAGAAGTTCAAATTCTCCACCTCTCACAGTACATCTGTATATCTGACATGCATCTATCACCTGGATCAATTTTGTCTGGAGTTCTTTCATCCTGTACTTGGGATACTTTATTTTGTAAGTGCCTCTTCATTACTATTTTAGGTTGGTGCAAAAGTAACTGTAGTTTTTGCATTGTTGAAATTTGCCTTTGATATTGAGAGGGTAACAGGCAGGAAAGCCAGGGGTCTCCAAACAGAAGAAATAGGCTGCAAGTGCCAGACATTTTTATCTCTCTTAAGGGGCAGGAGGAAACAAACTAGAAATTTTTTTTTCCCTTCTCTATACAAATTTAAAAGGAGGTTTCACTTAAAATACTGTGTTGCTATGACACCTGGTTTCACCTGAAGCTAACTATTCTCAAACTTTGAGTTAACCAATACATTTCTTTTTCTTATGGAAATGTTTGTCTTAAGCTATGTTAATGTACCCCAGACTCAGGTTGGTTCTGCCAAATGGCCTAACCTACTTACTCAGATATTGTTCCTCTAATCTATGTAAACGAAACTATTTGTTTGGTAATCTGCCCTTCTACAAGATTCAAGTCAATCGTTTTATGGCTGGGGATGAATTATCTGGTGCCATTCTAAATTCTAAGACATTCCTTTCTTTTCATTAACAAACTGTGAGTGACTATATAACCTACAGCTAAAGACTAGCAGGGGATACTCTTTCTCCCCCCTTCTGATGCCTATATCAGAAGCTTTCTCTATCTCCTTTATACTTTAATAAAACTTTATTACACAAAAGCTCTGAGTGATCCAGCCTCGTCTCTGGCTCCGGATTGAATTCGTCTCCTCCGGAGGCCAAGAATCCCAGCATCTTATCGTTCAGCAACAACCTTTCAATATTAGAATACATTCTTAAATAAATGTGGTTATGTTATCCACCACTTTAATGTGCATTTCTTGCTTTATGTTTTTTTGCTAATGACTTATTATTTGCTATTTATTTTGCACTTAGACTATAGAATTGATGTTAGACAAAAAGCAAATTCAAGCAATTTTCTTATTCAAGTTCAAAATGGGTCATAAAGCAGTGGAGACAACTTGCAGCATCAACAATGCATTTAACCCAGGAACTGCTAACCACTGTACAGTGCAGTGGTGGTTCAAGGAGTTTTGTAAAGGAGAAGAGAGCCTTGAAGATGAGGAGTGCAATGACCAGCCATCGGAAAGTGACAATGACCAACTGATAGCAATCATATAAGCTGATCCTCTTACAACTACATGAGAAGATGCTAAAGAACTCAACATGAACCATTCTACAGTCATTGGGCCTTTGAAGCAAATTGGAAAGGTGAAAAGGCTCTCGATAAGTGGGTGCCTCATGTGCTGACTGCAAATCAAGAAAATCATTGTTTTGAAGTGTCATCTTCTCTTATTCTGCGCAACAATAACAAACTATTTCTTGATCGGATTGTGACGTGCAACAAAAAGTGGATTTTATATGAAAACCAGCGATGACCAGCTCAGTGGTTGGACTGAGAATAAGCTCCAAAGCACTTCCCAAAGCCAAACTTGCCCCCCAAAATGTCATGGTCACTGTTTGGTGGTCTGCTGCCAGTCTGATCCACTACAGCTTTCTGAATCCTGGTGAAACCATTACATCTGAGAAGTAGGCTCAGCAAATCGATGAGATGCACCAAAAACTTCAATGTCTGCAGTCGGAATTGATCAACATAATGGGTCCAGTTCTTCTCCACAACATCACACAACCACATGTCGTACAACCAATGAGGTTTTGCCTCTTCCACCATATTCACCTGACTTCTCACCAACTAACTACCACTTCTTCAAGCATCTTGACAACTTTCTGCAGGGAAAACACTTCCACAACCAGCAGGACACAGAAAATGCTTTCCAAACGTTTATTGAATCCTGAAGCATGGATTTTTATGCTTCGGGAATAAACAAACTTATTTCTCATTGGCAAAAATATGTTGATTGTAATGGTTCGTATTTTGATTAATAGAGATGTGTTTGAGCCTACTTACAATGATTTAAAATTCACTATCGAAAACCGCAATTAAATTTGCACCAGCCTAGTAATTCTATATTTAATATATATTCATGCTTCACATATTAAACATTGAGCTACTCTTTCAGTATCCTGGAGATGCATGCTTTTGTGTGTGTGTGTGTGTGTGTGCATGCTCAGTTGTGTCCAACTCTTTGCAACCCCATGGACTGTAGCCCACCAGGCTCCTTTGTACATGAGATTTTTCAGGCAAGAATACCAGAGTGTGTTGCCATTTCCTTCTCCAGGGGATCTTCCCGACGCAGGAATTGAACCCACGTCTCTTGCTTCTCTTGCATTGGCAGAATAATTGGTAAATGGTCAGTAATATTTTGTGTTACAACCAATGAAGCATATTTACAGAGACATGCCTGGCATTAAACTTATAATTAAGAGTCTACTCTGTGACCAGGAATAAAAACAGCCTGGCTTATGTGAACCAGATAAGATTAAGCTGAGTTCCTTGTTCTAACCACCTGTGCTATTTGCAATACTAGATCATGCTGGATTTGCAATGCAAAGCCCTGTAAAGCAGTGTCTATGCCCCAGCATCCTGAGTGGACCTTTTTTTGAAAAAGAAAAAAGAAAGATAAGTGTTCAGTTCTACCTCCTATAAAGTCTTAGTATACAGCAGGGCCTCTGTTTTTAAACATTTCCTGGGAATTATCTGCTACAGCAGCTGGCCAGCTGGCCATTTCTCTCCTGTGTCCATCCTTGCACTTCTGGTGATTACCCTCCATTGAACATTGGAACCTATGAATGGATTTCATCTGTTAAAATGTTCCCCAGGCAACCTGAGATGAGGCACACAATTTACTTAACATTGATTTCTTTCTGAAGACAGCCCCATTAAAATAATAACAAATGGTGGAGAGTAGCTGCACAAGACATATTGGGGGTAATAAAATATGGAGCATTGTATGCATGTATTCAAAGTGGAATGTCATCTCCACAATGGCAGGGATTTTTCTCTCTTTTGTTGACAGATGTTCTCCAAGTGTAGGGCTCCAGAAATATTTACAGGATAAATGTTTTGTATGACAAAGACCTTACTTACTAACTTACAAGGTTATAAATCTTGCTTTGCTCAGTACTGGTTATACATCTTGGTGGTTCACCATCCCCAAGCCTTTGTAAGGACCAGGATGGAGCCCCTGGCTGTGTTCATTGCACAGCAACCACGTGGAATTTGCAGATGCTGAAATCTAAGGAGGTGGCTTTGGGGAGTGTACTTAACAGTAAAAGTGTCGATCTAATACTTGACTCTCCTCTCCTCTTCAGCCTCAGAGCCAGCCCCTCCTGAGATCCGTTCTTCCTCCTCCTCCTTCCCCTGGCCCTAAAATGAAAATTGAAAGCAGCCACAGAGATACTTGTGTTCATCCTGGCTGCCTGGCCCCTAAAGGGATGGGAGGGGCTGGTAGCTCCCCCCAGCATACTTGCATACCCAAGTCACCCCAAATCTCCTTTTTAAAAAAATGTTTTTATTTTTTTTAATTGAAGAATAAC